ATAAAACACTTGTACACAAAGATATTTACATCCACCGAAATCCAATTTGAAAAGATTAAATTAAAAAATACTTTTTTAAGTGAATCCTGAAGAAAATTACTGTTTTGATTAACAGTGAAAGAAAAGATGAAGTTGTCCAAGATGGAACTTTGTAGAAGTAAAAATAAAATGAGATCTTTGTCTTCTTTTTAAATAGTTTAACAAGGTTTTTGTGTTTTCTGCTCTTTAGTGTGTCTTAGGTTTAACTCTAAAATTAAACCACAGTTAAAAACTGTAAAACTGATTTAGTCTCATTWATCAAGAAGCTGCAGGTCAGATATCATCAAATGTTTGAAAGTAAAATGCAAGTAAGCTGATTTCTAGTATTTAAAAACGATACGTCAGTATTTTTGTTGGTGACAGAGAACTGAGAGTTCTGAAATAGCTCAGCAGATAATCTCTTTGATCCCCCGGGCCTGCTGCTCAGCTTCCCACTGTGAAACTTCCAGAGTGAAATCTGATCGAGGCTTTTCCATCAAAGAGTCTCTGCAGTTCAAAGCTGAAGCGTCTGTTTAGTTGAGTCCTCTTTGAGATCAACAGGATCACTTTGCCTCGGTTCAGCAACAAAAGTCTGCAGACTGGATCTCCATCACAAACTGACCTGAAACCCAAGTTTGACCCAGAAAAAGACGGAGCTTCACACTGACGGAAGAGACTGGTTCTTAGGAGTGCTCTGGGACGAGCCTCGAGGACGGGAGGGACACACAGAGGGAGAGACAGTGGGCTTGTGTTTCTCTTTAACCACACAGACAGGAAGTGGATCAGCTGGAGGGAGGAAACCCCACCCTCTGGGCCCCTGGCTCTCAGGTAGCTCCTCTCAGGGACTGGCAGGGGGTCTGGGTGAGGGGCAGGAGCCCTGGCTGTCAAAGCTGGCTGTTCTGGCCTTCCACTGCAGGACACACAGACACAAGGCGGTGATTCATTCAGCATGTGGTCCCTTTTACTGAGAGGAGAGGAGAGGAGAGGAGAGGAGAGGAGAGGAGAGG